CCTACCATCATTCCGCGTCCTTTCGCCTTTTTTATTTTTCGTCTGGGGTAAGAACTTGAGTGTCTATTTCAATGGCTCCGATAAAATTTAATGCAGATACTATTTTGAATAAATAAATCAAATGCTAAGCTGGCCATAGGGGGGCGGTCGCCCCCCCTTGCATCCGCCACTGCTCTGGCCTAGGAGAAGAGGGCAGGAAACAGTTAAATCCCAGAACCGCACGATGGCAAAACAGCCTGCAGAGTTGGGGCAAAGCTTAAGAAAGTTTAAAGAAAGAAAGGAAACCGAAGGATCCCATCCCATAAAATAGTCAGACAGCCTGCGTCACCATGATTCAGGGATTTTATGGTTTCTTTTTTATCCTCTTCTCTCATCCAAAGCTCATTTCGCTTAATCTTGGGAGCAGTTACAGGTCCAGCGAGGAGGGGCGATTTGTTTCTCCTCTTTTCTTCACCTCCTGTTGCTCTCGACACGGATGACAAACGAGAGATACAATTATCAGTAAATGAACTAGACGTTTGAGAATCTGCTCGAAGCACGATATGTACTGTATGCCCATGTCGACAGTGCATTCTGCGAACCTGTACGCCCTAATTCGTTTCATCTGACGGCTTCGTGGTTTGCACAAGGGAATCAGACAGCTAGTCGTCATCGAGGGAGCGATTGCCCTGGCACTCATCTTCGTATTCTCTTCGGGGGTCTCATTGCGACACTCGTTTTTTATTTATTTTTATTTTTTATTTTTTACCCTTGTGATAAATGCGCGTCATTTCCGCGGGGCTGCCTTCGGTCGGGAGACACTTATTCTCGGAACGATTCCAACAAAATATTCTGGGTGAAAAATATAACGAAATATGAACATTTCCCTTTCAGTTAATGATATCCAAATTCTTACCATAATTTTGTCGAAAGATACCAGACTACTTTGTATCGGATGAAAGAAAAATTATCCAAGGATAACGACTGAAGCTTACTGATGTCATCGTCCCCAGTGTAAATCTGCCCAGAGATCAGACGTCAAGCTAAAAGAAAATATACGGCGCTTCTAATGACTCAGTGGTCCCTGAAATCCCTGTCCTGTTGACTCACGGCCCGTCTCGAGGCCCAGTCATCCGGTCCTCACGTGAAGCAGCCCGACCTGCGCATCGGACACCGCGTCGAGGATTTCGTTCGAACTCGTCCACCATAGTCGAGTCACGTGCCAGCGTGTTTATCAGTGTGGAGCGACTAGACCAGGAGGTTCCCTCTCAGTCCACTGTCTCGCACGCTCCTCGACGGCAGTGTTTATCCTCGCAGCGACGCCGAACGAGTTTGGGAAATGGACGGGAAGCCACCGCCGTATGCACCGGAGTATCCGCCGCCGTACAACGGGCCGCCGCCAGGTTCGACACTTTTTCTTTTCCTTCAGATTCCAAGCGTTTTACCGCTTTTGCGCATATACGGCCCTGTGGCAACAGGAAAGACCACGTCATCGCTCGAGGTCGCTTCCCTACGGCTCCAGGGTTTACGAATGAATCTGTATTTTAAGATCCGATCCGCCGAAACGATTCGACGGTGCATCGTGCGCCGCTTTGCCGCGATTTCAGTCGTGTGGTTCGCTTGACCAAAGTACGAATGATGAACCCTTTTTAAAAAAAATGGGAGTGGCCCCTAGCACTTCCTGTGCCGGAGACCCTTTGTCCCGTCGGCTTCTCGGGATCGATCGAAGGCAGCCACGCGAACGCCTCGAAGCCGAAGGTTAGGCTGGATTCACGTCGCGTCCGTGGAATCCGGCCCACGGGATGGCCGATGTCGTAATTGCCGCGGATTCGATGCCGCAGCTCGATTGCCTCGACCTTGACTCGTTGGCGGTCGGGTGTGGAATTTCGTGATGCAAGCGATCCTCGCGGCGGGGCCTTGAATCCAACGAGAGCCTTCGTTGGCCCTTGTTGGCCCTCCGAGCGGTCCTCTCGAGGGGCAGAGCGACCCGATATCTCGCGATGAAGCCGGCGTGACGTCAGAGGAGCCCGTGGAAACGAGCGACGCCGTCGGAGAGTCGATGACACTTGGGAGACAGAACCGTTATCTCCGTGACGTAAATTGGATCCCCATCGGATGTTGGGAGAGTCCATATTGTCAGGGGCGGGTCCAGGCCGATCAAACAAGAAACCTTCCCGACCCTTGCGAAGGACAGACTACCCTTGTGAAGGGCAGATTAACCGTGTGAAGGGCAGAATGCCCGTGTGAAGGGGAGATGACCCTTGTGAAGGGCAGAAGGCCCCCTAAAATGACAAATAAACGGTTGTGAGCCTTCGCGAGTAGCTCCGCCCATGAATGACTGTGGCAACGGAGCCGGTATGATCCGTCCACATTCCGAAGGAAAAAAATCACAACTCATCTCACGGGAAAAAAAAAAGGGGGAAAAAAAATAGTCCTATTTCCTATGGGGAGGAATCACCAAAGAGCTCTTAGTTTGACTCATCTATATCGATTCTTCGTTTCTTATTCACCTTCGACGTGCACTATCAACTCGTCGATCGTAAAGGAAATTAAAGACGAGGCAAAGATGGGGGAAAAAAGCGGTGTGCGGTCGCCCTAACACCTCAAGAGACGACGAAATCGCGATCGCCTCGGAGCGATTTCGCCGTTTGTGGGAACCGCTGACCCATTTTCTTTTTCTCTTGAGAGTTTTCAGTCGCGTTTTCCTGTTTTCGCGTCTGCCTGTTTATAGTTCGGACTTCCTCCATTTTCTCCCTCACTTTGTTTATATTTCCTCTCTTTTTTTTTTTTGGCTTTCTCCCGAAGAAGAAGGAATATTCCTGAAGTGAAATAGCATTATGCGATGAACCACGAGCCTCTCTCCTTCGCAAATCAATTGAAAAAAAAAGTCATGGCGAAAAAAGAGGTTCGCTTGGAACCACTGGTACAAGTACAGGTACAAGCACTAATGCGCCGTCGAGCATCGAATTCACCGACCAGGATCTCGCCGCATTCCCCCCCCCCTTGTTTCATGATCTGCCATCCCTCTGGCCCCTATACCTCTGGAATTACTTAATAATTACTCTTTTCGCCGCATCCTAACTGTCCAACTTTAAACGTGAAAGCCTTCATTCGCATGTCGGAGGCCCACGTGCACGGTGAAGGACGTCCTCGATGGTTCGCGCGCCAGCGTCGCGCGGTGCTTGGGAGCTGAGTCGGGCTGTCTCAATCGGTATGGGGAAAAAATAGGGAGAGATCGAACGCATTGCCTGACGTTTTGCCGTAGTACCTATGGGAATGGCAGATTTAAAAAAATCACCAGGATCTAAGGACGTTTCCTTCAGATTTCCGGGAACGGCTATCCGACCGGATAGCCTTTATCAGAACCTCGGAGGAGACTAAAGAGACCTTGGTCTTCGCGTCGACTTTCCAAACGGCCTTTCGATCGAGTCCAAGCCGGTTGCTTCATTCCTCGACACACTAGAGTGGACCCCGCCAGCTCGAGGAAATTTCCCTATGCGCTCATAATCATTCATTTATTCATAATTAAATATGTATGGATATACGTATATTTTTATTATTCAGCCCTCGTTATGACGCCACTCCCGTGAGCCGCCCACCGCCAACACCATCATTCGTACAAATATGATTTTTCCTGCTTAAATCCTCGATTTTGCGCCAATTAGTACCCGTGCCGCAACCCTCACATGTGTTGCCACCGTCATAGGTGACTGGTAGCCAAGGAATGATTAGTGCATGGGGAAAATGTAGAGCATCGGAGGGGAATAAGGACGACAATACATCTTACGTATGCATGCTGTGTACACGTCTGACAGTTGCATACTTGACATCCAATTCGATATAGCGGCGCCCGTGTTATAGCGCCAAAGTCGGCTACGACCATTAGTGGCGTTACGTCGATGGCTGGCTTATTATAAAATGGTGTCTTCGCAGCGAGGAAATATGGGAGAATTTAAATCTTAGCTGTCGTTTTTTGTCCAAGATTATAATCTTTCGGTGTTTATAAACACCGAAACATGTCCAAAAACTTGCGAAAATTTTGCAACAGATTTTCTCTCTTTCAAAGTGAACTTAGGGAATGACTCCAGGGAAATTTTCGGCTTGAAGGTAAAAGTTGTCACATGCGAAGCCTCTGATCGTTACGCGATCCACCGAATATACAGTATTCATCCGTAACGAGACCAGGCTTATGCTAATCTTCGACCATAATTATTAATGCGTTTCGGTCGACCGCGCGCGAGTCAGTCGATGCAGGCGGACCCCGTCCAAGAAATGCGGTGCTTCGTGCATCGCGTAGAAAGTATCGTTTTCAGCCGAATTCGAAAGTCTCACTCGAAAACGACAGATTTTGCGAATTTTCTTGCAGATTTCTGCATAGCTCCCCTTCCCTTCCTCTCCTCACACATGTATTTCTCTCCATCGACCTCCCATCGCATAGACCGCGCGAAACCCATGAGATATTCAATGCAACAACCATCGATTGATGCTCATGTCTCTCCGACAGGGTTCGCACCGGGCCCCGGCATGGGACCGATGGCTCCCCAGGGACCCCCAGGACCTGCCACGTACGGTGTCCCCGTCGCATCCGCACCAGGGATCACCGTCGTCACCACAGTCGGACAGTGCCCCACCTGCCACGTGAGTACCCCACCCGCCCCACATACCCCACCTGCCCCACCTGCCATATTTTTTATGGTGGCCGACGATCGTCGTTTCTCTCGCGCAGGCCGGGTTCCTGACGGACGAATTCACCTGCTGCGGGATCACGATGGCCGTGCTTTTCTTTCCGATCGGGGTCCTCTGCTGCCTGGCCATGAGACAGAAGAGATGCTCTAATTGTGGATCCACTTTCAGTTGAAGACATATCAAGTTGTTCTTCCTTCCTTTTTTTTTTTCTTTTTCCGCTTTCGACGGGCTCTCTGCTACGTGATTCGTATTTCGGGGATGAACGATGAATCGGGTAGTGCTTGCTTTGATTCCAGAGAGTCCGCGTGTGATATACCAAAGCATCGTACCTTTCCGTGCCGTGTCCGAAAATAAAATGCACCGTTCGCCCATCAACCGCTGGTATTTAATTGACCGCTGGCATTCGTTCGACCGCTGGCATTCGTTCGACCGCTGGCATTCGTTCGACCGCTGGCATTCGTGTCGCATGACGCAATATATCGACGCGAGACGGTTCCTGGGAAGGCTGTCGCTCCAGACAATGAAAATTGTATTCAGGTGGCTTGACAGGTTCGCAGTAGAGATAACATGGATCGACGTTGCTTCATCGACCTGCTCGTTACGCCGAGGTCTGGGGTCCGTCCAAGGTCGGACTGGCGACCCCCCCTGGGAAAAAAAAATTATTGAGTAAATGAGGGCCCCATGAACAAGGTGAACTTCATCATAACTGCATAACGATTCGGCAGTACTCATGGAATCGAAATCAGTCAATGGTCATTAGTTAAAACTAATGTCCACTGTAATTCCATTTAAATATTTTAAAGTAAGGTCTGTCGTGTCCCCCCCCCCCCGGGCAATTTCC